AGCATACATTGGTACAGCCACTTTGGAGAGCAATTTGGCATTATTTTATGGAACTGAAGTACATAACCTATGACACAGACCTAGAGTATTCTAGGCCTAGAGTCTGAATTGAAATTCCTACACAATGTACTTAAAAGAGACTTGTATAAGTACATTCACAGAGGCAATAATGTAACGTTGAAAACTGGAAACATAAAGATTTATCATTAAACAATGAATAGGACTGGGTCTATTGTTTGTCTTTAGATCCTAGCACTGCTAGGACTCCAAGCACTGGTGACAGATTACCAGAACTAAGTAATTCTTATTTAAATGAACTGTAACTAAACAAATTGCCAACCAGAAATTATCCGGTGAGTGGTATGCAGGGCCAAAAAAAAAAAAATGTTTGAAGGACCTATAGAAGAAAGCATCCTGTAGGTGCAAAGAATGTGGGCTTTAGCTTAAGAAAAACCTCAGTCTGGCACCAAGTTCTGCTTATGCGACCTAAAGCAAGTTTCTTAACCTATGAGTCTCACTTCCCTTTTTTGTAAATAAGAGGCTTAATGGGATAAGAGATCCCAGGTGTGCAATGCAGGGCTTCCCAACCTTGTGGCATAATGTTGTGCTGTGCCTGAGTGATGGCGAGCCCTCAGCCTTTGGGATGGTCAGAGCCCCACCCCAGTCACCTCTGGCCTTGAGCACCCTCATTCCTCTCTTACTGCAGTGTGCCGTATGGATATTACACTTTTCTACATGTACCAGGACATGAAAAATGTTGGGAAGCACTAGCACAGTGCAGTTCCTGGCACATAGAACGCCCTCCTCTAACGTTAGTCATCTCTACTTACGGATGGGATGTGCGGCACTCTCGGGATTTCTTCTACTAGAATTGTGGGGGATCGAAAGTGTTGCGGGCCTTACCAGATCTCCTAGGAGCCACTCTCCTAAAAATCACAAAGGATTGAACAATGCCTCACTATGTCTTCATGCAGAAGACCACCCAGAGTAGGAAATGTCCAAATATACAGAACAAAAGTCAAGGAGTCTGAGTCAGACGAGAAAGTGAAAGAAATGTCTTCAGTCTCGCCTCCTGAACTTCACCTGAACTCAGGCCGTCTCTTTTTTCCTGTTCTGTCTCAAGAGGATATTTATGTCTTGAATGTCATCACACAATTTGTTTTTAAAAACAGTAGTTCTATGTACCCCTGCCACTCATTTTCACTCCTACAGAGGCAACCAATTTCATCTTTCACCTATTTTATTATTTACCTCTGTGTCTTTTAGCAACACTTACATATTGATACTTCTTGGTTTTTCCTTTATAGGCGTAATCTGTTGACTTTCCCATACAGAAGATATGTTTCTATTCTTTCCTCCATCGTCACTACACATACATACCACTCCCATGAGTAATTTGATTTTGAAGCTTTGACCATAAGAAAATGTTCAATCAACAATCAGTAGATGTTTATTGAGTGCCTACATGAGTTAGGCATTAGGGCAGTGCCTGAAGTGATAAATAAGAAACCAGGCAGCCAGGCCTAAAATACGTACTTTTAAACTTTTGCCACAATGCTTTTCATAATGAGGTTAAGATACCAGAAACACTCAAGACACCTACTGAATCATCTAACACTAAATTGTACTTAAATATAACTTTCATATTCAACTGTGCTTTACTGAATTCAAATTATAGGGAAATTGGTTTATGCAAATTCAATGCTTTCTAGTTAATCATTCCTCATTCTCCAGATACTCTGTACAAATAAGAGTTTTCCTCCTAATAAGGTTTTTGTTATTTTTAATGTCACTTTCACATACATACGTGTGTTCCACATGCTCCAGGGCATCCCAGAGACACAATATGAAACTAGGCAGAAGGAAAAAGACAATTTTTTAAGAGAACAAAATATAAACAAAATATAAAGTAGCAAGTAAAACTTGCTACTTTAGAGTACTACATGAGAATAAAAATGACATTTCACTGAAAATTAGGAAATGAGGAGCTACTAAAGAGAAATCTACAATTTTTCTTAACCAAACAAAAGTTTTCACAATTTAATCATTTTTAAAAGAATTTCTCAGTATACTTTAAATGACTTTTAGTCAAGATGGAGACATAAGTAAACACAGCTCGCTTCCTCGCACCATCATATCAAAATTACAACTAAACTATAGAACAACCATAACTCAAAACCATCAGAAATCAAGTTGAATGGAAGTCCGACAACTACAGAATAAAAGAAACCTCATCTATCCAGACGAGTAAGAGCGATGGAGACATGGGAAGAGCTGGTCCCACATCCTTGTATGGTAGATAAAAACTGGGAGGAATATCTCAGGAGCGAAGAGGACCAGCCCCACAACAAGCCCACAGCCCAGGGTTCTAGTGCCAGGAAAATAAGTCTCCACAACTTCTGGCTGCAAAAACCAGTGGGAGTTGAGTGAGTAGAAGAAACTTTTGGAGTCCCAACCAGTTCCTCTTAAAGAACCCACACATGGACTTGCTCTGATTCAGTTCCTCTGAGCCCCAGCACCAGGGTATCAGCTTGAAAGGCACCAGTGGCATATACAGGGAAGGGGTGAAGAGTCTGGCATCAGAAAAGAGCTGGGGTCAGCTTCCTTCTAAACAGAAAGGTGGGCAGAGGCCACAGTCCCTTTTCTGAACCCTCTCCCCACAGATCCACAAAGCTGTCCCCTCCAACTAATAGGCCCACACAAGCTGTTAACAGTGACTTTTCCATATGAATTATTGGTCTTGGCTCACACATCACAACTTCCTAAATCCTCTCAAACAAGCAACAGCCAGCCTCTGTGAGCCCCCAGTCCCTGTAAATCTTGCTAAATGACCCTAGGCCTGGCACTAGCACCAGCCAGCCTAGATTCACAGCTTGGCTTCACCTGGGAATATCCAAGCCCAGGACAAGTAGCAGCCACCTCAGATTGCTTTATAGCTCATGCAGGGTGGCCCTGAGCAGAACACAAGTTGGGGCTGACACTGGCCTGCACCATCGGGGAAACCCCAGAGCCTGCACACCCAGTGGACGGCTACAGACCACACTGGAGCACCAACACCCTGCCCTCGCACAGCTGACCCTCCACAAAAGGCGAAGGCTGGGGATCAGTGGTCACAGCCAATCCTTGTAGCCAACTGGCCTGGGTAAATCCCTCCCATTGACCTGCCAATAGCAATCGAGGCTCAACTGCAAGAGGAAGGTGTGCTCAGCCCACAAAAAGGGTGCACCTTGAGTACACAGCTTGGGTGACAGGGGAAGCTGTGCCACTGAACCCCACAGGACACCTACTACATTAGGATATTCTACCAAATACTAGCAGTTCTACCTAATACATAGAAACAAACACATGGAGGTTGCCAAAATGAGGAGACAAAGAAACATGGCCCAAATGAAAGAACAGATCAAAACACCAGAAAAAGAGCTAAACAAAATGGAGATAAGCAATCTATCAGATGCAGATTTCAAAATACTGGTTATAAGGATGCTCAAGGAACCTAGTAGGGACCTCTACAGCATAAAAAAGATCTAGTCAGAAACAAAGGATACACTAAGTGAAATAAAGAATCATTTTCAGAGAAACAATAGTAGAGTGGAAGAACCAGAAAATTTTAAAAAAAAATGGTTTGGAACATGGGAAGCAAAAATCAAGCAGTCAGAACAAGAAGAAAAAAGGACCACCCCCCCAACAAAATGTGGGTAGCATAAGCAGCCTCTGGGACAACTTCAAGTGTTCCAACATTCACAACAGAGAGGTGTCAGAAGAGAAGAGAAAAAGCAAGAAACTGGAAGTCTATTTGAAAAAATAATGAAAGGAAACTTCCCTAATTTAGTGAAGGAAATAGACAGGCAAGTCCAGGAAGCACAGAGAGTCCCAAACAAGAGGAATCCAAAGAGGCCCACTTTCCAAAGACACATCATAATTAAAATGCCAAGGGTTAAAGATAAAGAGAGAATCTAAAAAGCAGCAAAAGAAAAGAGGTTGGTTGCCTACAGGGGAGTTCCCATAAGACTGTCAGCTGATTTCTCAAAGGAAACTTTGCAGGCTAGAAGGGATTGGCAAGAAATATTCAAATCATGAAAAGCAGGGACCTATAGCCATGATTGCTCTATCCGGTAAAGACTTCATTTACAATCGAAGGGAGAAAAAGAGCTTCCAAGACAAGAAACAAAACTAAAGGAGTTCATCATCACCAAACCATTATGATATGAAATGTTAAAGGGACTTATTTAAGAAAAAAAAAGAAAATCAAAACTATGAACAATAAAATAGCAATAAATACATATCTATCTACAATTGATTCTAAAAACAAACTAAGCAAACAAGAACAGAGACAGAATCATGGATACACAGAGCATTTTGATGGTTGTCAGATGGGAGGACGTGTGGGGAATGGGTGAAAAAAATGAGGGGATTAAGAAGTACAAGTAGGTAGTCACAGTATAGCCATGGGGATGTAAAGTACAGTATAGGAAAGGGAGTAGCCAAAGAACTTATGACCCATGGGCATGAACAATGGTGTGGGGGTTGCTGGAGGGAGTGGGGGCACTGAGTGGAGGGTGGAAAAGGGGGAAAAATCAAGACAACTGTAATAAGATAACCAATAAAATATAATTTAAAAAAAAGAATTTCTCTCTCTCCGTCTTGGTGCCTCCTTAGGATCTCAGAGATGCAAATTTTAAATGTTCTTCAAAATAATGTCTCTGAGAAGGAATTTTCTCTTTTCTTTGTGCAGTTTCACAAAAATCAAAATGAACAGCACCAATGACTCCATCCAGATGCATTTTTCACCGACTTACTGTGCTGTTGCTTGTGATACAATGGAACAGGTGGGTGGCTGGGACCCGAAGTCCTGTCAGAGCTGCCCGCTCAGCCCCCGGAGCTGGCTCCTCCACCAGCGGGCGTCCACATGCCTGCTGGGAACCTCACAGTGCCAGGCTGCAGCCCTTCATCCCCTCCAGGCGCAGAAAGCACAGAGCACAGGTTCGATTATGAAGCGACTGTCACTTGGGTGGAAGAGGTCTTCTCATACCACCTTGCTTTTCCTTTAGGGCAAATTGAATTTCCTCAGCTGCATTTTCCTGACATTTCAGGTTATTCAGGCGCTTCATTTCACATTTCCTTTCAAGTTTGATGTCTAAAAAATAAAATACATGAAGCAATCCAACAGATACTTTTCACAAGGTATAATTTAGACAAAACTGAATAATTATTACATAGCAAAATTCATATTCTTAAATACTAAATGAGAATTAACATATTTAAACATTTACCTGATAATGAGCAAAAGGCATAAAATTTGCAATTTATTAAAGCACTTCTTACTGAACATACCTTCTGCAGAAGGCAGCAGACCATCCTTAGTGGTTTTACACTTTTTGAGGTGTACAGGACCACCAAATGTAATTTCTTGCAAGTAGGGGAACTTGATCTTGGCTATGTTCGTGTACCAAGTCTCTGTAAGCACTGCGAGATCCCAAGGTTGCTGTCTGGAGTGAAAATTCATTCATTCACTCAACAAATACTTATTAAACATCTATTACGGGATATACAGAAGACATCTAATTCTCAAGTGCTGTTTTCCACTGTACATTTTGGTTTATAGGTGTGGGGGTATTCAGGGTTTTCTAAAATTGCTAATCTAGCCAGGAGAAGGAGCCTTACATTAACTAATGTAATAATACATTGAAAAATTACCATAAGCTACAATGACAGGAACATTTGTTCACAGTACAGCCTCCATGAACTCAATCCAATCTCTCCACGTCTTTTAAAATGACGTAGTCTTTTATGGCTGATCAAAAATATGGCCACAATAGGGAAGAATGAACAAAGGGAATAAGCATGCACTGAGCAGCGTGCTTGGCATACACTAAGACTTTGAGTGTGTGATCTTATTTTAAGCTTTACAGCCACTATGTAAGTAGACAAGGAAATTGAAACTCATGAGTTATGAAGAACCAGAGCTGGTACTTAGCTTAGGTATATTTATTTAGAAGCACTAGTACCAAGAGAATCCTTAGAAAACTGAAGGAGATGAAATACCAAACTATAATAGTTAAAATAATCACTGTGTATTTTAAATGAATTGTTTGAGGTCTCCTAATTAGGAAATTTAAAACATCAGCTACAAGCAGTGAGACGTTTCTCACCTACAGTCACTATGAGTCCCTCTGCATGAAGAAGGGGAAAGACCTGCTCTGCTGTGAGCAAGGGAAATGAGGGTTGCATGCACATGCCAACCTTTTGTTTTCTGCCTCCAGCTTCTTTGCTACTTTACCATCTAACTTTAAGGAATGACTTGAAGTCTACAATTATTAGCAATGTGCCTGAACAAGTGCACTAAAATATTTACAAGGTGCTCACTGAGGCAGTGTTTTTCCAGAAAACCCCCCAAAAAATGTCTTTAGTGTCTATCAAAGAGCTTGGTTAACAAATTGTAATACATACATGTAATGAAAGAATAAGGTTTATCCTTATCAGTTGATTTGGAAAGATGAGCGATAAAACAGCTAATATTTATCTAGCACTTATTATATGCTAGGCATTGTTTAAATCAGTTTACACATATGCACCCATTTAATTATCACAGTAACCCTGTTCAGTAGGCATGTGCAGTTATTGTCCTCATTTAACAGATTAGGAAGCAAGAACAGAGAACAACTTGCCCAAGATCACAAGGCTGTTGGTCTTGAGTTGGAATTAGAACAAGAAAAGTCTAACTTTAGAATCTGTGCTTTCAGTCACTAGGCTTTACAAGATGTAGTTGAATAGGGAGCAAAATTCAGTATAACAAACAAGTGTAAAACCGTGTGTGTGTGTGTGTGTGTGTGTGTGTGTACATAAGGTCTGTCCAGAAGGTATCCCACCATATTATGAAAAATAGGGACATTTATTGAAGATACAAGATACTAGGAGCATTGTGCATAGGACAATGATGCCTCAGTCCCCTTGAAAGTAGGCACCTTGGGGCCTCACACAGCTCTCTCATTTACCATCAGCTGCCCTGTCGTATTTTCCTGAATCTCATTGATGGTCTGAAACCTCTTCCCTTTCTTTTTCTTTTTTTTTTTTAATTTTTATTTATTTATTTATTTATTTTTAGAGGGAGGTGCAAGGAAGGAGAGAAACATCAATGTGTAGTTTCTCATGAGCCCCCTACTGGGGGCCTGGCCCACAACCCAGGCATGTGCCCTGGCTGGAAATCGAACTGGCGACCCTTTGGTTTGTAGGCTGGCATTCAGTCCATTGAGCCACACCAGCTAGGGCTCTGGAATCTCTTCCCTTTCAAAGGTGATTTTAGTTTTTGGAAAAGCCATAAGTCACAGGGCAATAATCTGGACTACAGGGGGGCTGAGTCATCTGGGTGATTTGATGTTTCACAAAAAAATCTCTGCATGAAATGTGATGCATGAGCAAGTGTGTTGTCCTGATGAAGCTGCCAATCACCAGTTGCCCGTAGCTGCAGCCTTCTGAATCAGCTGAATAGTTTCCGTGTAGGAATGTTCAAGCTTGACGCAAAATTGGATGCAGGTTCATTGTTCTACTCGGTCATTTTGAATGTGACAGCCACACTGACTAGTACAGTGCAGCTGTCATTGTTCAAGCGTGTGCAGTCCAGTCCTCTCTCCTTGGCCACCAGGTTACATCGATGTTGCGCAAACCATTCTCGTCATATTAACAATGGTTGTACTTTTTCCGAACAGACCTCATATGTCTATGTGTATGTGCCTCTTGTATAATAGACAAATTTTATAAAAATATATAAAACATTTTACCCCTGAGTGGGACTGGGGTTTCAGGTGGGAATGGGGATATGAGAAATAACATTTTTATTTTCCTTTCAAATGCTTCTATGCTATTTGTAAGTGCTTAGTGTTTTTTTAATAACCTTCTAAAAATAATAAAACAAAAAGCCCAAGGTGAGGAGTTGCCTTAGCAAATGAACTCCAAAGAATGCTACTACCATTCTTTTCCTCTTAATTCAGTTGCTCTTCTAAATAGTATGATATAAACCACTTTCTTATGAGAAGGATAGAGAAGGCACTTGTTTTGCAGATCGGCATTGCCTGCCAAAGTATACAAGATGAAAAACTGACCCTTTGTAGCAGCTAAGAGCTCCTGTTAAGATATACCTGACCCCAAGGCATTTTTAGATAAATTTGCACTCTCTACAGAGGTATTTTAAAGTGGTGGGCAATAATAGAAAGTGTTGCTTTAGAGTAAGGAGACTTCTAACCCTGTCACTTTACTACACGACTATGTCTTTCCTCGAACCATTTTTTTGAACCTCAGCTTTCTCATTTCAAAGTGTCCTTTTGTTGGAAAGATGAAGTAAGATAATTTACGAATTTCTGTAATAGCAGTTGCCTAAAAACAAAAAAACAGGATCCAGACACCCAAAAATGTCTCATACAATCTCGTATCTATCTCTCAGGGAACATAAGAGTGTACAGTATTTTTATTTTACCAAAGACACTGCCCACCCCAAGGCAATGCGTACCCGAATAAAAATACTTACACTTGATAACCGCCCCGCAGCATGGTTTTCACTGTGTTTTTTCTTGGCAAGCAATACGCCATGGTGAATTCTTACACCTTATTTCCCAACACAGGTACCTTTTGTAATGGACTCAGAGACTCAGATACTCCGTTCACTTTGCCTAAAAGGATTGCAACGCACCTAATTAATGGCTTTCGCTTGAATATTTTTAATGTTCGAATAATAAAAAGATTCAGAAAAAGCGTTTCTGAATGCCTGACTATCCCTAATAAAATGTTCAGTGAAGTTGAACTCCTAAGGTCGAACTGTGTTCTATTTTCCAGGAACTCGATTTTGTCACTTCTTCTGGTCTTGCAAGGAAAAAATGCCAGGTTAACAGCATCGTTTTTTCCGTCGTGCTACCTTGTCACTGCCTGAGCCTGCCAAACTGGCTCGAACCCCGCACCACCAAAAATGCGGCCGACTGTGGCGATGTTAAGTGATACGTGACTGTGCGAGCACAGGAACTTCCTGTGCTCCGCCCCAGTCCTTAAAAAAAAAAAAAAGCAAACTTGCCCAGATTTTCCCTCTTTGAAATACCTGAACTTAAAAAAAACAGTGTCTAACTTTAAACAACAATCCTACTTCCTCTCCCAGGCACACGTTTCTGAGGCAAGTCTCCCCTCGTCCCCTTTTGCACCTCCACACGCGAGCGGGTGGAGGCTTTGGTTGCTGCAGGTCCCTGAGCCAAGCAGTGGGTCCTCCCGCCGCCGCCTGCCTCCCTCCGCATCTCCCTCCCAAGCCCGCACCGGGCTCCTACCACCGACCCGAGAGCGGGCCCGCTCTACCAGGGCCCCGGGACGGGTTCCGAAGGGGGTGCCTGCGCCTGCTTACCAGCACTTGGTGTCTTTTGAGGGTCGCGATTCCCCGCGGACCCGGGGGCAGAGCTCGCCCCTAACTAGGCGCACAAGACGCACCCACCGCGGCCCCGCGCGGCGGGCACACTCCTTCCTGCTCGCGTGGGGAGCCGGAGCTTCAATAAAGGGTTATGTGGTGGGGTCCGCCCTCGAGGAGTCCGGGGCGATAGGCCCGGGACACGCCGCCCGAGGGGTCCCCTTGAGGCGGGTACTTCTGGGTTACACCACCGAAGACCCGTACAGCCTCAAGGAACAAAGCTCTCTAGAGAAAGAGGGCTGTAAACTAGTCTTTTCTCTGAAAACGACACTTTTAAGGGTCAAGAGGTTCCGTTGAAGGGACTTGGGGACTTTGTCTAGGGACCATCTGGGGGCCCTATTTAAGGAAATGTTCTCAATTATGACGTGTTCACTGTGAGCGATTTCCCACTGTGACGCTTCAGGAACGCAGGCGTTCCAGTTAGTGTTCGCATGCCCTAGGGGGCCAAGGCGGTTTTGAAGGCTGAAGCTCAAAACCCCATACCTGATATGTTATGTGTCCTTGTTAACAGCAAGCTGGGATCAGTAAATGTGGCCAGTTTCTGAAGTCATTATACTGTGGTAATTCAGGATGGATCTGTGTATTTTAATACAGCTGAGGGTCACCACTTGCTGTCATATAAATATAGTTTACCTTTGCATTTTGTGTGAGGGTTTTGGAGTCAGAACTGGCTTGGATTCTAGTTCTGCCACTTGCGGACTTTAAGATCTTGCCTACTTGAATTCTCTAAGCCTCAATTTCTTCTACCAAACACGTGTAAGACTCTGTATCTCTTACAGGGTTGTTGTAAGGACTAAAGACTGTCAATAAATTCTTTGTACCTAATTATCTAATTTTGAGCCTAGTCACAACTTCATGAGATAGGCAAGGAATATTTATTATTCCAGTTTTATAGAGGAAGGGTGAACTGAGAAGTTAAGGGACCGCTCAAGGTCACACAGCTTAGTGAGTTGCAGGGCCAACTTTTAAAGCTAAAACACCGTGCCCTTTTGGCCCTGACTTGACTACCTCTGATACTAGCTCCTGCCTAATTATTAGAATAGGTTCTCAGGGTTCAAAAAGCACCTTTAGAAGGTGCTTTTGTTCCTCCCAGAAGCTGGAAGGTAAAGACTTGCTTGTCTTTAACACTTCTAGTACCAATGGAAAAGTGGCAGAGAAGAGTGACCGTGTTAGTATGTAACACAAAGAATGCTGAAGCCACTAACGGATTGTGAGATCAACGTAGTAGATTTTGACCTTAGCCAGTAGAGCTTGAATTTTTTAAATAAATTAGCATGGAATGGGGCAGGGGTGAGGGAAATGAGAGTATATAAGGCAAATAAGTGTGTTTTCTGTGGAACTTTCATTTCTGTTACACATATGCCCTCATATACATGCCTATGTGTATGTGTAGTTTCAATGTAAAATATAGTTCTTACGGTGGGCCTAAAAAGTGTGAAAGCCACTGTGTAAGGTTATTTCATTTTAGAGATTAAAAAAAAAAGGCCATGTTGCTGAAGTCACAGACAGGGTGGGGCAGAAGCAGGCCACTTTAGAATTGAAGTGGTACATGGATCCATGGCCTGTCGTCCTTCTACAAATGAAGAAATGAAGACCCCAGAGAGGATGTGATGGGTCCAGGGCCACGCTGAGAGAGATCAGACAGCCTGTGAGTTCTCCATGTGAGAACTCCAATTGTATGTATATACTTCTTGACATTTGGGTCTCGTTATTTCCTATGTGATTCACTTTGAACAAATATGGTGGCAGTTACAGGGTACGACTTCTAAGACTCGGTCATAAAAGGCCTCCTTCTTCCATCTCTCTTGGTTCCCTGACCCTGCAGGAGGTTGGCTGCCAAGTTAAGAAGATGATCAAGACGCCGTATGGAGGAAATCATGTGCAAAGGAATCAAGGTATCTGGTCAATGACTGAAGTACCGAGGCCTTTTGCCACTAAACACGTGAGTTGGATCTTGGATGCAAGATCCTCCAAGGCTCAGTTTAACCTGTCCATGACATCAGCCCCAGTTTCTACACTGAAACTTCATGGGGGACCCTGAACCTGGGGACCCAGGTAAGCTGCTCCAGGATTCCTGGCCCTCAGAAAATAAAAGATAGTAAATACCTATTGTTTTAAGCCACCACCTTTTGAGGTATTTGTTACAGAACAATAGGTAACTAATATACCACTGTGTCTCTTTTTTAATTTTTTTAAAAATTTATTTACTTATTTTTAGAGAGAGGGTTAGGGAAGGAGAAAGAGAGGGAGAGAAACATCAATGTGTGGTTGCCTCTTACACACCCTTCTGGGGATGAAATTGGCAACCCAGTGGTTCAGCGGACAGCCCTCAGTCCACTGAGCCACACCAACCAGGACACCACGACGTATTTTCGTAGAAGGAATATTAACACAGAGGAAAAGAGCCATATTTTTATAATTTTGAGAGTAATAGTTTGATTAAAGTGAACAGTGAACACGTTGTGCTTTATAGACATTTTCTGGGCAGCAACTCATGTCACCCAATCTCCTTTAGAACCAGTTAAGATCCTTAAAAACTGTCAACAGAGAAAATATATAATAACCACCACTCTCCCACATGTTTTTAAAAACAAAAACAATTTTGAATACTACAGAAAGTAGAAGAAGATCCAATAAAGAGCTGGTTTTCTCCTCATAATGACTATTTCAGTATTTTCTTTTGAAATATCATATTATTTCTAAACCTACCTACACATCTCTCTCCCTCTCTGTCTCCTTTCCCTCCTTCCTTCTCCCTTTCCTCGTTTTCTCTTTATTTTATCCATGATCCTCCCCCCCACCCCCCCGCCGCCCCCGCCCTGCCCGGCCCCTTGCCCCTCCCCTCTTTCCTGGTGACTTACATCTTCCTGTAGGGTAAGCCTTCCTTGATCTCATCTAGTTCACCAAGTTAGCCGGTTTCATTTAAATTAGTTAAGAGAGCATTGCTGCCCTCTCGTGTTAAAACTAAGGTACAAGGAGACTTACAAAAGAGTCACTAACAATCACCACACAAAAACCATACTAGTGTGATAGCATCTACTATGCTTTGGCCCCTCTTCAAGGTACTTCATATACATTGTCCCATTTAACTATCACAATGATAGATGCTATTATTAACTTAGTAATGTGATTTTAGGAGTATTAGAGAAGGAAAAATTGAGACATCTTAAGCATGAACCTCAGGGTCATAGGATTTGACCCAAGATTGTCTGATTCTGATATTTTGCTGTCTCCACAACACTATATATTCTCTCAGAATTGCAGTTAGGGCAAGGTTTTAGGGTATATGTCTGTAAATATTTTTTTGCAACTGACTATTTCAAATATTTTGTTAATTTCTCACCATACGTATATCCAATACTCATTCTAATTTCAAAGAGTGATGTTTTATATCTCTTTTCTTAATTTATGTTATTGATTATGCTATTACAGTTGTCCCATTTTTTTCCTCCCTTTTATTCCCCTCTTCCCTGCACCGCCCTCCCACCAGCATTCCCTTTCCCTGCTTAGTTCATGTCTGTGGGTCGTACATGTAAGTCCTTTGGCTTCTCCATCTCCTGTACTATTCTTAACCTCCGCGTCTATTTTGTACCTACCGATTATGCTTCTTATCCCCTCTAGCTTTTTCCCCATTGTCCCCCTCCCACCTCCCCTCTGATCTCCATTTCTGTGATTCTGCTCCTGTTCTAGTTGTTTGCTTTGTTTGTTTTGGGGTTGTTTTTTTTTTAGGTTCAGTTGTGAGTTTGTTGTCATTTTACTGTTCATAGTTTCTGATCTTCATCTTTTTCTTAGGTAAGTCCCTTTAACATTTCCTATAACAATAGCTTGGCGATGATGAACTCCTTCTGGCACCCCTACGATTTGGATGTTAGAATGTTTAAAGTTGTCCCAGAGGTTCCTAAGCCTCTCCTTATATTTTTTGAATTCTTGTTTCTTCATTCTGTTCTGGTTGAATGTTTCTCTCTTCCTTCTGCTCCAACTGAGACTCATTGATTTGAGTCCCAGTTTTCTTCCCTGTACTCTTAGTTCCCGGTATTTTTTTTTTCATTTCACTTTCTGTAGCCTTCACTTTTTCCACCATTTTGTGACCATACTCAACCATTTCTGTGAGCATCCTGATTACCAGTGTTTTGAATTCTGCATCTGA